ACATTGTCATATAACTAACCTCTGCTCAAGTGTTTTATGTAAAGAATAAGCTTAAACCTTCACGATTTAATCAAACTGCTGGTAAATAACCTGTTCCCCAGCCATACAATAGATAATTACAAAAATATGTTGTGTCATGTGACGTTTAGGTTATTCAGCTATTCTCAGCGTCACACGTTTATATGATGCAGGCTGGTTGGAGGAAATGCAAACTTATAAAAACTTTACTGCACTTATGCAATCTTGTGTAAGTGAACTTTAGCCTAATGAGTGACAAACATTTGAACTAAATAATGTATTCACAAAGCCTCTGTATTTGCAGTGTCATCTTAATAAGCTGTTTTAAAGGTTTTTTTGCTGACCAATATGCCACTAAATATCTGTACCATAACATAAACGAGCACATGCTACAAAGCAGTTGTACTAAGATTTATGTAACTTTAGTAAACTGAGGTTACTTCACGTTGAAGAATACTAGAACTTTTTATGTAAACAAATTAGAATGTTTAATTAATATTAACATGTTATTCCTCGTGGTTTGTGGCTATGGCTGTGACCCCGAATGTAGAATCTAGGAAAGCGCCTGGATGCTTTTTAATACCTAAAGCAAAATAATACAAAAAGTATATATATATTACACAAGAGAAACGCAAGAAAGCAACTCGTTACAATTAGCATAATTATTAAACACCCATTTGTCCATGGCACAGTTTGTTCTGTGGGCCTCCCCCCCCCCCCCCAGGTATACAATCTAGCCAAAAGAGACATTATAGAACATATTGTAAGATGCACAAATGTAGTTTTGGAGAATCGGATGCAATTAATGTATCCAGTGGCAGTATGAGCTAGCACAGTTTGATAATATGGTACGTTTCTTCTCTTGTAGATATAGCATTACTCTTAACAGCAACAGTACCATTTGCCCTTTAGTGAATTACATATCATTTTACAGCCACTGAATGACTGCAATTATCTGTCTAGTAACATAAACCTCCGAGGCCAAACCGAGATGTCTGTCAACTCGTTCAATCCAATTAGAGGCAGTTTCCTATACACTCAGCGTTCTGCCCCACATGTACTTTCCCTGTTGTGTAACCAAGGATCCTATGACATAATCTGGTTTTGTATTGGTAACAACCCGGTTATTTCATCTGTCAAAGTGCACATGTAAGTGGCGTAAATGCAACTTGCATTTTTTCCCCTCTTTATGCAATAATTAATAGAATCTTGGATTTCCAGTCATTGTCAGATCCCTTTGTAGTTGTGTTTGATTAATCTTAGATGAATGCACACTCATCCACCTCTTCCTTTGTGTATTTTGTAGCAGATGAACTACATCAGTTGCATCTGATTTTTATGCACCAGACATTTTCTTTTTCTTCTTTTGGATTATGCTATTAGATGGTCATGTAATGCCGTCCAAGTGGTATAGAGTACATTAGTGCCCCCCTACTTGGTGCGTTGGTTCCCGGAATTGTTTTTTCCATTCATTTTTACCAATTTAAAAAGTCTTTCTTAAAGCGTTATATGCCACACTCTTAAAAATAAAGGTTCCAAAAAGGGGTTTTCACAGTGATGTCATAAAAGAACAATTTCCTATGCTCTCAAAATACTAGATCATTTTAAAAATAAGTTGAAATTAATAAAAGAATATACCATTGATTAACAACCTCGGAGTTCACATCAGGTTTGTCTTTAAAGGGTTTATAACTTATCATTAAAAATAAATTTAAGTGTGGAGAAAATAAATAGATGTTTTACTTTGGGAAACCCGACTGTTAACTAGAAGTTACACTCTAAAAAATGCTGGGTTAAATACAACCCAGTGCTGGGTAAAATAGGGACAAACCCAGCAATATGGTTGTTTTGACCCAGCAGTTGGGTTACTACCCAGAAGGTTGGGTTAAACATTTAACCCAACCGCTGGGTCAAAACAGCCCAATTGCTGGGTTTGTCCCTATTTTACCCAGCACTGGGTTGAAATTTAACCCAGCACTTTTTAGAGTGTAACTATGCACTAATACACAGTGTTCCCTGAAGGTGTTGGGAGGAATGCTTATGCAGAGTGCAGCTAATCACAGAGTGATAAAGTGCATTTAGGTTGGCCTTTTTGTTTATGCACATTTAAAATGCTCAAAACCGAATTTCTGTCTGAAATAAGACTTAGAACCACACTGTCCATCTTTTCATGTATCTACAGCCCCTGAAGATGTGAGTCTGAAAGTGTGGCGAGCTGAGGCCTGCATGGGTCTCCGTCGCTTTTCTGATGCCCTCCGTGACCTGGATGACCTGTGCTGTGTGCGACCCAACTGGACTGAGGTGAGGGCCGTCTTTGCTAACTGTGCTGATTATTTATATATAGGGACAAGACTTTTGTTTATGAGTAGTGTTAACATTATGAAAGTCTGTATCAAGTTCATGTTTGAATCCAGGGTTATTGCTTTTAATTCCTGTCATTTAATTCCTGCCAGATCGCTGAAATGTCTGTGTGTTCTCATAGCATGGTATTTCAGAAATGACTGACAATTTTGTAGTTATGCAATATCTGTTGGTATGGCTAGAGCACATTGTGGGATTTGACATTATTCTCACTATATGGCATACACTACCATTCAATTAAATTCAATTAAATATTCTGTAACATTATAAATATAAGTTATTTATAATGTTACAGAATATTTCAATTTCTTTTTTCAAATAAATGCTGCTGTTATGAACCTTCTATTTATCAAAGAATTATGATAAAAAGTACCACAAAAATATTAAGCAGAACAACTATTTTCAATGTTTATAATAATATGAAATGTTTCTTGAAGCGCCAAATCAGCATATTAGAACAATTTCTGAAGGATCATGTGACACTGAAGACTGGCGTAACGATGCTGAAAAATGTGGCTTTACCAGCACAGGAATAAATTATATTTTAAAATATATTCAAATAGAAAATTTATTATTTTAAATTGTAATAATATTACTGTTTTTTTTAAATCAAATAAATGCAGCCTTGATAAGCATAAGAGACTCATATTTTATATCTTACTGACCCCAAGCTTTTGAATGGTACATATTGGCACAATAAAGCGCTGCTGAAAACTTTATGTAAAACAGTAGATTTACATTTATACCTGAGGATTTTGCTAGCATGTTTATTAAATATTGTATTTAATAAATTAAATAGGGTTACCTGTGATAATTGGTTGAATTCTGTGTTTTGCAGGGTGTCTTTCGTAAAGGGAACGTGCTTCTTGAAATGGGCAAACAGCCTGAAGCCCTCGTCCAGTTTTACCGCTGCCTGAAGCAGCAGCCTGATTTTGCCCCTGCAAAAAATCAGATTAAGAAGGTGAGTTTTCAGAAATCAGGTATGATGAGCAAAGCATATACTCCTAAACATTTTTCTTTAGATAGAACCATACCTTTTAGAAGCATTTTGAGTGATTCAGTACCAGAACATCCGTACAGAGAGCATGTTCTGCTGAAAAACATAAATTAATGTTTCAATAATACACTCACTGATTCGTATGCAGATCTTAGAGGCAGAGGGCATGGCTGTACCAGAAGAAGTTCCACGGATGCTGCAGGCTGTGTCTGAGTACTTGCAAGATCTCTGTCCTATCACCAGCACTGTAAGCCCATCGTGTCCAGATGGTCAGCGCTACTCCCACAACAATACTGAAGGTCAAAGTGATCCCGTGCAGGTGAGGTGTGCGCACAGCACTAATGCTGTTGTGTAACTTCACTTTTGAAATGTAACATCGGTAATGTGAGCATCATTAGGAAAAGTTTTTGCTTACTCTCAGGCTATTTTCTGTTCTGTCCTAGAATGCAACTAAAGTGAAGCACGGCACCAGCGGCGAGTGCTGCCTGAGCCTGTGTCAGGCCGTGTCCTTCCTCCCCACTGCTGAGGATGATGAGGAACTGATGATGAAGAGAGAAGAGAAACAGAACAGAGGTGAAGATATCTTAATCACTACTACAAAACAAATGTAATGCATTCACATTTGAACATGCAACATTTAGGAATTGTTAAAACATTGTTTTAGTATTAAATACAATTCAATAATAATCGAACAATTTTAAAAATACATTTGCATAGCTTCAGTCCAGAAGTGCGGAAAGGCTGTAGTTTAGTTACTTTGTCTGATACGATGTTAGCATTTACTTTTTTGTAGCATTAAGCAACACATTAAATAAAGAAAACTTGATAATGTATGCACAGTAAGTGTTGGTTTCAGCAATTTGTGTGATACTGGTTTGCCACTTTAGCCATGATTATATTCACAGTATAGCATATTAGCTAAGCTATATGAACAATATAACACAGCCTTGAGTGCTTTATTGCTTAAGTATAAAGATAGTACATAATCATATTAAACATTTTATATTAATTTTGATTTTCTAGATTACTTTGGGTTTTGTTAGTTATTTGTTCATTAGTAACAGGTAACATAATGGCTTATACATTTACATTATTATTAAATAGTTAATAATAATTATTATTAATAGACCCCAGCATCCTCGTTACCATACAATGGATAAGCGGTTTGGAGAATGGATGGATGGATAATTATTATTTATATAAATAATATTCCATTTGTCTTCATAAGCAAGGCTAAAATAATAGTCTATTCATTTACACTCCTCATTAGCATGGTTAGACAACCAATCAAAACGACATCCATTCAAGCTTGATTTTGTTTGTTTGATTCTGTAGGTGTGTGCAGTGTGGCCAGAGAGTCCTGCCTCAGCATTCTGACTGTGAGTGATTTTGAGTGCCCTCTCTGCATCAGGTCAGTGGAGATTTATATTGTGTCCTGCTTCACTGCCATTGTTTCCTGCTACCAGACACTTTTATTTCCTTTAGTTTTGCTATGGTATTTAAATGTTAGATTACAACAGGCACTTGCCTATTTGAAGACACAATACTTTTGTAATACTTTAAACCAATACAATTTTTTATAGGGTAAATAACATTTTTATAACATATTTTATTCTTGTTTTGTCGTTTAACAAATGTATTTCAAGATATTAAGGTATTATCAGTGAAATTTCCGGTGCCGTAGAGGCCTGGACCAGCATTTGTAAAGATCCTCATCTTAATAAAAGTGAAGTGAGTGAGTGAAGTGACGTGTGGCGACCCATACTTGGAATTTGTGCTCTGCATTTAACCCATCCACACAATAGGGAACACACACACACAGGCAGCCATATTGCTGCAGCATCCGGGGAGCAGTTGGGGGTTCTCTGCCCTGCTCAAGGGTCACACCTCAGTCGTGGTATTGAGGGTGGAAGAGAGCACTAGTTATTCACTCCCCCCCTCCTACAATTCCTGCCAGACCTGAGACTTGAACCTGCAACCTTCAGATTACAAGGCCGACTCTCTAATCATTAGGCCACGACTACAAATAGGAGAACAGGGGTTTTAACAGTCTAGTATTACAGAGGACTTGTGTGAGCTTACTGTATATCACTTATTATATACAAGTTGTGCATAAACAGATTTATTTTTTCTATTGCCCACTTCTTATCTTTGATCCTGTCATGACTGATGGATTAGGTTATTCTATGAGCCGGTGACGACACCCTGTGGACACACCTTCTGCAAAAACTGTATTGAGAGAAGTCTGGACCATAATCTACGCTGTCCGCTTTGTAAACAACCACTGCAGGAGGTACTACTAAAACACAGACTTTTACAATAATTGCATGTTTAACATTTAGAAGCATGTAGAAACATTTAGCCTCAGAGTAAACAAAAACCCAGTAGTCTAATCCTTCTAATGCAAGTCAATCACATAGTTTTCATAAAAAAAATAATTAAAAAAACGGAGCAAATCATGTTGCATAGAAGTCTCACCTCATTACTTCTTAATCCAGTATTTTAAGAACAGGATGTACAACCCCACCGTGCTGCTGCAGGAGATTATGTCCCGCCTCTTCCCCCAGCAGTTGGCTGAGAGGAAACAGGTGCACGAGGCGGAGATGGCAGAGCTCTCCAAGTGAGTGCCCCTCTCAGAGATAACGAAAAACAGCGGTCCTGTCTATATATTGCAAGTCATAAGTTATTATCAACTGACATTCCTATGCTGCTGAAATCCAGTATCTGTATTGCTTTTCACAATGAAATGGGATAAAATGAGATGGTTCAAATGTCTAGCAGTCTTAACATTTTATTAGTGGTTTTAGCGGTCCAGAAACTGTTTGATACTGGGAAAAGTTATGCAAAAGCAGAATTATTAATTGCCCTCTCTTATCTCTAGTTTGACTAAGGACATCCCAATCTTTGTGTGCACGGTGGCGTACCCTGGCATCCCATGTCCACTGCACATCTTTGAGCCTCGTTACCGTCTGATGATGCGGCGATGTATGGAGACGGGCACCAAAAAGTTTGGCATGTGCAGCTACGAGCACGGCAAAGGGTATACAAATAAAAGATCATGCAGCTAGCATCTGTCATTTGAAGGTTATGCTAACTTTTGCACCCTTACAGATTTTAAGAAACTTTAAGTGTTATTAATTAAATAAATATGCACACTAGCTTTCAAAAGTTTGGGGTTAGTAGTGTATACTGTACAGTACAGTATGTGTATATATATGGAATGCCTTTCAAGTGTTTTGATCCCAGAATTTCCTGTCATAGCTTTGCAGATTATGGCTGCATGTTGAATATTTTGGATCTGGATTTGCTTCCTGATGGTCGCTCCTATGTGGATACAGTGGGAGGTAGTCGCTTTCGAGTGCTCAGGAGAGGACAGAGGGATGGCTATCAAACTGCTGATATTGAGTACCTGGAGGACCATAAGGTCAGAGGTTACACACTGCCATATCTCAAATTTCAGATCTAAGACCAAGAAAAATTATATTGGAAAAAGTATTTTCCAAGCAGTATTAAGGCACATAAAGTCAGGCTGCATGGGGAATATTCCAAATCGAAACCGTATAACCAGATGATACAATGGTTCACTGCCTATACTGTAAATAAGATTGTGCTCATGGGGCTTTATTACATAAACATCCGAAATTCAAGAATTCTATCTAATCTGTTTAGTAACCATGATGATTTCAGTTAGTTTGATCAGATCTGAATTTATCTTAAGATGAGCTTACGACAGGAAGTTTCTATAATACAGTCCTTGATTGTAAATGAAATTGCACTTCTCGTCTTAAAGGATACAGTGCCTGTCGTAATGGAGATCTGGCACATGTTTAACTGAGATGTTTCCTGATGGCACACTTCCAACCTATAACTTATCCAATGCATGGCCTGCTATCTGCTGTACATACTTCCTCTAAAATCTCAGTATAGTATTCTTCCAAAGCATGCTGTGGTAGTAGTAAGCTTTTCCTGCCATATTAACTATCAATCACAAATAATTATTTTATAACATAGTATATGATATATTATAAACTATAGTAAACATAACATTTCAGTATTTTATATTAAAACATGATTTTAGTAAAGAGTTACTTTGTCCTGTTGTGGAACAAGATTTCATTTTGACTCCTGCAATTAAAGTCTGTGTATATTTTGCATATAGCAATAATAAATATGTGTTCTGAGTTTGTCACAACACAGAAAAATGTGTTATTAACCACCCAGCCAAATTTGAATGAAAAAACAAAAACAAAACGTTGATTAGCCACATAAAACCTAGTATGTTTTTATTTGGGGGGTCATTTGTTTTGTGTGGATATATTCATACATTCATTATATTCATTAAAATAATTCATTTTACCATGGTGAATAAGCCGAGGGTAATGGTTGCTTTATGACCAGTTTGAAAGTTCTGGGCGAATGCCACTAGGGAGAGAAATGCGACAATCGTATCCAAATGTCGAAGACAGTGGTAAAGCGGCTTAACTCCACAATTCAGTACTACATAGTTTGCAGTCTTTGTAACGTGTTTTCAGCAATACATTTCCAACATTTACAATGTGTTTAGAAACAATTCTCTGAATTGCCTTTACACAGACTTTAAACGTTTATTAATAAATTCATGAAATGCTTTAGGCAACAATGTGGCTTTTTTGTGCAGTCTGGCTTTCTGTTACGTTAAAAGGTTTTATCTTCTAGTCATTTTCCCTATGGTTATGTGTCTTAACTACCTAAATAAGATGTCACGATTGAGCATTCAATGAAAAGCATCTATTAAAGATTCATGAGAGAGAGTTATTACTGCTATCACAAGCCTGAGATTGTGATGGATTGCTTATAATGACATTAAATACAAAACCTTTTGTTAGTACTGCAAATTGAAAATCAAGTAAATACTTAATGTTAATTAGTGTTAATTGCATGTGTATTCAGCAGACATTAGGAAGAGGAGCTTGTGATTAACTGCCTGTTAGTCAACAAATTCAAGCTCTTTTCAAATCCATCCATATTATGATTACATTATTTTATCCTCTGGTTGAAGTTGAGTGTGACAGTAAAACTTGTTTGTCCACCTAACATTTGCATGCATTTGGGTTTAGGTTGAAAGTGCCGAGCTTGAATTACTGCAGCGTCTCCATGACAGCGTGTATCAGCAGGCGAGGGAGTGGTACCACCGTCTGAACAGCCGCATTCAGGAGCAGATCACCCGGCAGTACGGCATCATGCCCGAGAAAGAGGACGACATTCAGGTCAGAGCCCACGGAATATTGCGTTTATTAACAAAACCACAGATCGCGCATTTTAATAGTAACTTCTTAATGAGAATGAATGTGTTTTTGTGCATTGTAGGCATCTGCTAATGGGCCGGCCTGGTGCTGGTGGCTGCTGTCAGTGCTGCAGTTAGATCCAGCCTATCAGACCACCGTTCTGTCTCTGACATCCCTGAAGGACAGACTGGGTCATCTACGTATCGTACTAGAATACTTCTCTCAGAGCTAGGACGGAGACACATTATATGCCAGTATCTCTGATCACATCACATGCATGCACCATGGAAGACATGATTTTTTTTTAATGTACATTTTAAATTCAACTGCAAGAGATTTGTTTGCTCTTGCCAAAATTTGATACTTTTTTCTGATCATAATCCATACACAAGATCTCTGGATAACACAATGGACAGCTATGGTATGGGTTGGTTAAAAATTACATGACCTGTTCCAGTGGCTGTACAACTATTGAATTAATCTTTACTAATTCTTACTTGAGTCGAGCACCAAAGAGTCAAGGACTCGTTCTACACAGAACAGCTGTTTATTGGTTCACGCTGTTCGCTTCATTAAACATCATCAGAGTGGATGCCAAATGTTGCAGCTAGTTTTGCTGACATACATTTGAGATGTTTCCAGTAGTACTGGACCCTGGCCAAGATTTTTTTAAATGTGTAGCTCACATTTGTGGCCGAGAGGGAAACAGTTGGCCCAAGAGATTGATGACTGAATAGGAACTCATTGATTATGCATGAATGAAACGCTTTCATTTTTCATTCTTATGACTGCAGCCTCAAAATCCCACAATTCTAGCCGTAACTTTTAGTAGAATCAGAAATAATATTATCCTCAGTAACAGATGAGGAGTTCTATTAATATTGCAATACTAATGGCACAGAATACACATCTGAATGAAAGCTGCTAGCTGTGCTTGTTCCATTCGTAGTATTAAATGTGTTGCAAGCTTGCTGGCATGACAGTAGAGAGGAGAGAGGAAGCTAAGGTACTCTACCATTCAAAAGTTTGGGGTCAATAAGATTTTTGAAAAAAATGAATACTTTTATTTAGCAAAGATGCATTGAATTGATTAAGAGTGACAACAAATATTTCAAAAGATTTCTATTTTTTAAATATTAGGATAAATATTATTATAAGGATTTTAAACACTTCTTTTTAACTTTTTATTCATCAAAGAATACTGAAAAAAATGATCTATTTCCACAGTAACATTAAGCAGCACAACTGTTTTCGACATTGATAATATTAAGAAATGTTTCTTGAGCACCAAATCAGCATATTAGAATTATATCTGAAGGATCATGTAACACTGAATACTGGAATTCACCTTTGGCTTTACAGGAAAAAAATTACATTTTAAAATGTATCAAAATATAAAAGATATTTTAAATTTTAACAATATTTTACTGTATTTTTTAAAATAAAATAAATGCAGCCTTTCAGAAACATAAAAAAATAAAAATAAATCTTAACCCTGAACATATGAATGTTAGTGTACAATCATAATCAAACGGCAGTTATGGGAGGTGTTCTGAAGGTTTTAGCTATCTGGTTGATCATTATAGCTCTCCGAACCTCTGTGTCAGTCATATTGGATTATTTCTGTGTGCTTGTGCCTTGTGATGGGCCTTAATCTGGATTGAGATATTTGGTTAAGGACTGCAGATTTATGTTCCTTATTTTTCCTGTCTTCTGTTTCAGTGCCACATTCCGAGGAATGTTAAAACTGCAATGTTAAATGTGATGTAACACTTAAATGGACTTGAATCTGACTTTGTTCCTACTCTAGTGGTGATAGTGCCATTGTTTTTTCTAATCTCATATGTGTCTAGCTCCTAATGGCTGGAAGTCCAACAAGGGTTAACATGCACCCACCTGCACTGTTAATTTATTTTTAGGTTTTTCATATTTGATCTGTTGCGCACTGCTCAGACGATTACTGTCATTTTGCCATATTGCAAACCAGTTACTAACAAGTGGGTGATTTGCTTTCAGCCATGTTTTGAATGCAGTATGCCTAAACGATTTAGATTTTAGATTTGTCTTATTTGAAGCAGTGAAAATTTGGGAACTTTTGGAGAAAAGATTAGACGCAACAAGGTTCATACAAAAACTGAGATTTAAAGAAGCCTCCGTTGTGTTCCACTTCACACTTCCATGGTCAAAGTCATGCTGAGCCACATATTATTTATGATCGCATGACCACAGTGGAGTGATTCAGAGACATATATTTATGAAAGGGATTTAAATCGGAATAGGATTTTATCTGAATTTGCTTTAGTAATTTAAGTACTGATTGATGCATCTGATGTGTTGTTTCATAGCTAAGGTGCACTCTTGACGTCTTAATACCTTTCATCCTCAGGATACAGGACTTGGAGAAATCACTTACAAGTGCTGTCAGAACTGTTGCTTCATCTGTCTGTAGTTTCTCAGTAGCGTGGTGGTGAGCCTGACAATGTCAAATTCTCACCCTTCTGGTTTAATTGTATGTGAAGGTGGCAGATCCTGTGGTGTTGCTTCGGGATAGTAACAGTGCAATTTAGAGTGACTTCATTCTACACTATAGTCTCATAAAAAAGAAGGATATAAACTATAGCCCTCAAATCAGATGTCTTGTGTAAGTAAAAAGACTTCAGTTAGATTTAATCTACAAATATAGATTAGTCAAATCAGAATCACTAATCAAGATTACATCCTCTATTTTATAAAGAAATTGTTTGAGAGGCAAATATTTCCATTCAACGGCAAATGATGCTTGCTCATTTATTTCAAATGATCAGTGGAGTCTGATGCAAAGTATTTCTTCTCTTTGTCAATAATTCTTCTTTATGCCATATATTTATGTGTTTGGAGTATTTTAAAATTTGTTTTCCCTGGTGTAATCTCAGGGGCTATATCAGTGATTTTTTCTTTTGAGAGGTTTGACTTTAACCCTTAAGGAGTTATGAGATACACATTATACAATAAATGTAACATTAAAATCAATCATTCAGCATATCATTGCTTTTCTGTCGTTGGAACTGGCAAAAATCAAACTTAACAACAACAAAAACATTAAAATTGTTATCATTTATCATATTACCAAGCAACCACTAGATGTCCTCATACAATCACAAAATGTCTGAGGTATTAGCTCCTATGTCATCTTCAATTACTTTGAAAAAGTAAAGATGCTTGTGTGTTATTTATTTGTTTCTCTAAGCAGACTGCATGGTCTAAAGGAGTTACTGTAATAGTTCACTCTAAAATTATATATAAAAATATGTCTCAGTGTATTATTTGTTTTGTCAATATAATAAAGGTCAGTGGGGGTCTATATTTTGGACCCCGATGACTTACATTGAATGGACAAAACATGGTAACACTTTACAATAAGGTCCCATTCATTAACGTTAGTTATACATTAAAGTTATTCATCTTTGTTAACATTAATAAAAATACAAAGTTATGTTCATTAAATAATGCTAACAGATACAACTTTATTTTTTTAATAATGTTGAAATTCACATTGATTAGATTAATAAATGCTTTAGAAGTATTTTTCATTGTTAGTTCATGTCACCTAATGTAGTTAACTAATATTAACAAATGGAACCTTGTGGTTAACCATTCTTCAAAATATCTATTATGTTCCAAAAAAAGGAAGTAGCCTAGTTTATAGGTTTGCAATAACATAAGTGTGAGTAAATAATACCAGAATGTTAATTTTTGATTCAACTCTTTTGGGCGAATCTCTTTAAGTATAACTAACAATCATGACAATAAAGGGAAAAAAATACAATAAAATAAATAAAGTGAGCATCAGGCTGAGATAAATGAAACTAGGTATGGAAATATTTAAACAAATAAAAGTTATGGCATTAGCCTATATATTTTTTTCATAATTTTGGAATTAGTTATGACATATTAAATCACTGTCTGCAGCAAGTCGAAAAGTGCGATCACATTTTACTGTCGCTCGACGATTGTTCAAAATTTCAAAATAGAATAACAGACTGTAGCACTGTTTTTCGGAGAAACAAGTAGCCTATGTGAACTTAGCATGTTTCCTAAATATCTGCAAACATGAAATTTTATGCTTTAGTAGGCCTACAGTCAAAAAAATTACATAGGCCTACAGCACATTTAATCCAGTTGTTCCAGGAATTCACGCGATCAGGAATTTCTCGTGTGAGCGAAAGCAGATTTCGCAATAGGTTGGTCACGCAAATTTGCAGCGAAATTTCGCTATGACTACACCAACAGTAGCTTATGTATACTTCGAAACGTCGAATTGACTTTAAGTGTAAAAGGCATTCCTGCTGTCACAGAGGCCCTTGTGATGTAGCTCAAAGTGAACATCAAAGCCCATTACAAACACAGGCAAGCTAAACGGACTCATCACCCAGATGCAACTCCCCTGCCTATGGCTTATTTTTGAGTGGGGATGACAGCCTTTTTTGTACTTAACAAGTCATTACATGAACCTGCGGCTCGCGCTATGCTGAAATGTGGGTGTGTTTGCGGGTAACCTGCATAGGACGTCCGCGTGTGCTGTTGAAATCCACATGATGTGGCAATTAATTTGGGATGAAATCAATGTAATTCTCACACTGCCAGTCAGAGATGGAGGGTGTTGAAGAGATGATGCAGGGCAGCAGGGAAACAAATGCCCCGTGTTGCCATAGAAACCGTCGCCCGATAGCCGAGGTAAGAGGCAGGATAAAACTTTCAAGTAACTTAGTTAATTGAAAATAACCTTTTCAAGTGCACGCGCAAACTCTTTTGTTTGTGTACAGTCTGCGAGCCGCAGTGTCAAATGCAAATGCTTCAGAGAGATAAATGGCGAATGCATGAGACGATACCAAATAGGCCTATGTCTGTTTGTCTCCCTCTCTTGGTTTTCTTTGTAGGGATTACGGAGCGTCTAAGGGGTGGCAGAGCTGGGACTGATAAAGAAGCCTTGTTTCAGACCAGCTTTACCCCCCTGTGTCAATACACAGATAAAGCTTCAAATGGCGTGTGCAAAAGAGTAAAGGTAAACATATCAGAGCCTTGGTACTTTAAGTCTCACGGTGCGTTTGGCAATAAGACGAGACAAGACGCAGAGGCAGAGATTAGCGGGAGAGACAGCTGGCTTTGTCCCGTCGCTGAGGTGGCAAGAGGAGACGCAGTAATCTAAAACCCCACTGTGAAGAGCTAATACAGTTGATAAAACAAAACAAAACAAAGTTCATCAAACAGTATAGACAGCTTCAGGGTTTATAACGGGAGTTTTTTTTAGAGTTCTTAAACTCGCGCTAGACTATGTCAGTGATAATATTCTTTGATAATGTAGGCCCCGATCAGACAGAACGCGTTTTTTTGCAGTAAAAGGCACCTTTAAAAAAAAAAAAAAAGTATCGAACAACATATGGTCCCATCCAGATGTCGTTTCTTTCAGG